CATTGTGTCCGTATATATAATTTAAAAAAAAAAGAGAGATAAGTTATTCCCTTGAATCACCTATTTTTTTAAATATATTATTTTCGTTTTGTCGTAATTGCTGTGAACGATGGGTAATGCTTTCGAAAATAATGGAAACAGGCAAATCTGACCTTTGGCTAGTTAAATTTGAATTTTGGTTTTCTTATATTTTACCGGAAAATGAGTTTTATGGGACGTGGCAGGAAATTAATTTGGAATTTTAGGATTCGAAACGTGCTTTGAGCCACTAACATTAAAGTAGACAATAAGTGGCGAGGTAGGAAAAATATATTATTTTTTTAGGCAGCCTACGGGGTAGCATGTTGGGGCCGCAGTAGGCCAATGCACCTAACCCAGGGATAATGTGATACGTGATCAAGCAGGTGCTCTTTCGGACCCGGTGGGGGTCCCGGACCCTCTGATAGACGTGGGGATGTACAACCGCAAAGTGGGAATGTTTTATTCGATTTTTAAATTACAAGTTTGGTGAACAAAGCGGGGCTAAGACGTTGTGTAGTGTATACAGGAGCTAAGTGAGATGTCAATCCTTTTTGTCCATGTAGGGCGAGTATCTCTGCTTTTGTTTCCCATTGAGAAGGGAAAGGAAACATGAGTCGGGGGCTGATGATAGTAAAAGGAATTTTTTTTTTATTATAAAATTGATGAATTGGTTAGTAGTTTATGGTATTTAAATGTGCACTGGATAATCCTTTCTGTTTGTTATACAGAACAGTTTATATAGGAGTGTAAGCCAGGCCTTGCTGTCCCTGTTGACCGGGACACATAGAGACTCCTTGCTGCGGACGTGCTGTTGGAGTATCAACTCAACACTGTCCCTGATGCTGATGGATCTGGTTTGATTAGTTGTATAGTATAAGTCAGTAGGGTAGCCCAAAATTTGTACCTGTCATTGGCCCTGAACTGAGTTGGGGTTGTTGAATTATGCTCGTTTTAGCCTTGTTGTAAAAGTATATGAAAATGTGACTTGCGGGGGGAAATTATTTTGAAAATGTGCAAAATTCTAAAGCAGTTGGGAAAATTTCATTTTATGAAGAAGTGAATTAAGTTTAGTCATGGTGGAGGTGTGGTCTGAGCCTCAGGTGTTTGACCACGTTTGGGATTGCTTGCTTGCCCGCGCTGCATCATATTACGCACGGCAACATGCTAAATTCCGTGTGGACTAGGTCCAGGTGTCATGAAAATGTTGTGTTTTTTTTTGTTGGGGGACCGTTTATTAAGTTGAAGTCACAAAGTAAGCTTGAGCTTCATTAAGACTCTGCGTAATTTGTACTGTTGAGTTAGGCCTGTCATTCATTTGGCAGCAATAAACTCGTGTGGGACCCTGAGAGTCCTGGTTAGGATAGTGATTTTTTTATTTGGCAAGAAATCTTTCTGCCGGTGGTCCCCCTGTAACTCGGGTGTAAGAGTGTTTTTGCTCGTACCTGCGTACGCTTGCCTAGCCTAACTTGCTAGCAGCTACCAGTTGTACTTGAGCGTGGAGGGGAGTGGTAAGAGAGCGTCCCCTGAGGCTAATGTGTTTAGCGCTGTGAGTGTGAGAGTGTTTTTGCTCGTACCTGCGTACGCCTGCCTAGCCTAACTTGCTAGCAGCTACCAGTTGTACTTGAGCTGTAGGGGAGAGTGGTGAGAGATCTTCCCCTGGTGAGAATTTCATTTTGTTGCTCGCGCCTGCGTACGCCTGCCTGACATAACCTGTTAGCCGCTACCAGCTGCGCTTGAGCTGTAGAGGGGGTGTAACGAAGAGCTTCCCATGTCGTGGTTGTGATGCAGAACAGTAAGCTCATAATCCCTGACTTAGATTCCATGTTCTCGCCGGTAGAGACCACCCTGATAGATAAGGATGTGAATGTTGCCTTGGAAGTGTTGAAAGGGCTTGACGATGAGCTGGGCCCCGTTGACGTGCGAGAGTACCCATTGGAGAGTGCCCTCGTACGGTTACGGTCCCACCACGAATATAGGGACGCAATGCGGAGGAATGTGTTAGGAGCAACACTTGTGATAACTATTGTGGTGAGCCTTGTACTGCTGTGTGTGTTTTTCAGGAACTGGAGCGCGGTTGCCGCATGGCTCAGGCGTTCCCTGCCAAGCAGACGAGTGAGGGGGACTGTGACCGTGACCAGAGCGCCACCGACGTTTGCTGGCCTGAGAGATCTCGAGACTGATGTGGAGACTTGAGTAGCTACTCAAACTATTGACTCGGACGAGGGGACTGCAGCCCCAGAGGTGACTGTAAGGACCTCAATCACCGGTAAGACTACAGCCTAATCACTGCAAAGGATGCCGTGATTATTCGGACTCACGTTCTTTTACGTGCGCGTCGGTTCGGTCAAGACGAAATGGACAACGCGGAAGTGCGTCGAGTGCGACCGTACCGAGGAGTTAGCCGCGACAACGGGACAGACCGCCCTAACGAGGGTCAGTGACTCTTTGTTAAAAGAGAATTGGATATAAAGTTATAAGAATTTCCTTCCTTTTGTATGTAAGGATTTGCCTAGGGAAGTATAGGGCGCCCTAATTCGTTTCCTTTCTTGTACCATGGTAGGGTGATTTATATTATGTATGTAATGTTATGTAATACAGGGTGTCTAGTTTATTTCCATTATAAAATTCAAGACTAATTCCAGACTTTTCAAGACTAATTCCAGATTTTTCAAGACTAGTTTTTTCAACAATTAGTGGTTGTTGATACCAAACTGTATCAATTCTCAATTTTTGATACCGATACCAATTTTTATAGCAAATTATTTATACCTAATTTTCTAAATAATACTACACCAACCCCTGTCTTTGTCATAAAGTAGTATTATAACAATGTGGTGTTTTCAAGTAAAGAAATAATGCAGCAATAAAAAGTTCTAACTAGCAAATTTGGTTTTTTTTTTTATCATGAAATCTTCCACGTACCGTACGTTTAGACATCATCACTGCAGCGGTTACAGAAACGTGATCGTCGTCGTCCGCGATCTCAGCAAAATCATGAACATTTCCCGCGGCCTTGTAGACATCAATGACATCATCGTCATCTCCCGCGGTCACGGAAACGTCATCGTCGTCGTCCGCGATCGCGGCAAAATCATGAACATTTCCCGCGGCTGTTTAGACATCACCGTCATCTCCCGCGGTCACGGAAACGTTATCGTCGTCGTCCGCAATCACGGCAAAATCATGAACCTTTCCCGCGGCCGTGTAGGCATCATCGTCGTCTCCCGCGGTCACGGAAACGTTATCGTAATCTCCCGCTCTCACAGAAACGTCATCGTCGTCTCTCGTGGTTTCGGAAACGTCATCGTCGTCGTCCACTATCGCGGCAAAATCGTGATCGTTTCCCGAGGCCCTGTAGACATCATCATCGGCTTTTGCGGTTACGTAAACGCAAGACGACGATCGCGGCAAAATCATGAAAATTCCCGACTTTGAAATCAAATTTAAGACTAAATCCCGACTTTTCAAGACCATTTTGAAATTCAATACTAATTCCCGACTTTCCCGATTTTCCCGACTACTAGACACCCTGGTAATAAGTCTTTTTTTTTCTTTTGAAACCATTGTAGGGTGATTTATGTTATGTATGTATTGTTATGGTTCAAATTTTTGGGAAACCATGGTAGGGGACTGATAATGATGTAACGATCTTTTGTTGTTCTATCAATAATTGGTTAATTGAGTCTCTCAGACAGAAAGTGATAACGGAGGCTAACGAAGAGGTCTCTGGTACTTGCGGGAAGGCTGGCCACTGGACCGTGGGTACTGGGGAAGAAACCTTTTCATTGTTAAAAAAAAAGGGTAAAAGCCTTGCTGCCGGCCTTGCAACCCGACAGCAAGACTAGATATCTCCCATTATCAGACTCCTACTCCCACAATGTTAGCTAAGTTTTCTTGTTTTTATCTTCTCGTTGTAAATAAACCAGCTGAGGTACCATTAAAATGAAGTAGATGGTCGTGATTAGTCGTACGTCTCGCATGGCACTTGCGGTGTCTTTAGCATTCTGCTATTGTGATGTAACAGAAGAGCTTAACTCTGGAGTATAATGGATAAGGTTGGGATAGTACATAAGTGTAAGGGGGTACCTCAGCCGTAGAGTAATGTAATTCTTGGGAAAACGGTAGATTAATGTTGGGTAGTCAAACATATATCTGAATATAAGTGGAAATGCGTGGTAACACTTGACGTAGCTAGAGTGAGTATGGGACGGGTAACTCCAGGCACTTACCTTTCTTATCTGCAGGGGTGACTGAGTAATGGACCGACCCCAAGTGAAAGCTCGTGCGGCTTCACCATATCGAGTGATTAGCGTTCAAAATTAACACTTAATCTCCAACCCAGTGATTTACTTCTTACGACCTTGATTGATTACAACCCTAAGCGGGTAGGAAAAAAAAATACATATATATAGTAAACCTTAGTCTAATACAAATAAATAAACAAACATGGTATGTGCCTGGTGGTTAAACGATTATCGAGCAAGCGTGCCATAATGAGAATGTTGTAACGAAATGCCGTAGTAGCAGTGTCATGTGGACTATGTATTATTGTGGTAAAATTTGCTGTATTTAACTTTCTTTTGTTGTTGTTAGCCTGTATTGGCCGGGTTTTGTTTAGGGAATAAGTTTAGATACGTAGCGTGTTCTTCATGATTGCTGAGTCCCACCACGGGTATCGGAATAAGTAATGGTTAGCAGTTAGAATAAAATAAATAAATAAAATATAAAAAAAAAATGAAAATAAATATAAATAAAGACAAAAGCTGTAAGAACATAATGGTTGAACTCAAGCAAGCGTTCCCCCTGCGCGGGCTGCGCGCTAGAGATAACAAGTGGTGTGGTTCAGCAGTCCTTGTCTTATCTTGTTGTGATGACGGAGGCAACAGCTGTTTGTCCGCAATGTTTTGACTCGATTGGAGTCAAGTTCAAGGAAGCATTCATAGCATTGTATAGTTTAAGTTCTGTATTTAGTCGTTAAGGAACTGCGTAATTTGATAATAAGTGATGGGAGATGTTCTCTGTTATTTTATTAATTAACGAAATTGTATTTGTGTAATATGAGGAATGTAATGAAACCGTACTGAAATTAAGTTAAGTGTGTAATAGCGAGGCGGAACGAGCTACGTAGCGCATACCGGTACTCGTAGCTAAATAAAAAATATAAAAAAAAATAATACAGAAATATAATAATAACACTAAATATTCCCTGTAAAAAGCGATGACGTGGCGCGCGCCTACTCCGATTTTCCCCACAATTTGATTTCGGTCTGATAAGGCTCGCACTGGCTCCACAGTTGAGCCGACGATACTACGGAACAACGTGCTGCAGGAGATAAGAACGTCATACTCCCATGCTGGGGGCAGCATTGGCTTAAGGTGGGGGGTGTGTCACACCCGCCCCTCCTTGCATTATATTAATATTCCATCAGCAAAATTTGAGGGATAGTTTGGAATATGTATTTATTATAAGATTATTGACAACCAATAATCACAAGCTTTTTTGGCGGCTGTGACTAATTAAAAATAAGCCAAACAATACTCCATAACATCAGGAAGCATCGCCAGCCCTTCGTAGATTTCTTCCGAGCGCCAAAGACCGAAATCAAATTATTCTATTATAATTGTGAGCAAAGTTATGAAGCTGGAATAGTGCGATCTAGCCTCGGACAATGTACGTCTTGCCGACATCAGCACGGTCAACGGCACTAGCCTCGACCAAATCCGACGCTCTGATTGGCTGAGACACCTCAGGCCTTCAGCATTGCGTCGGTTTTTGAGCAGTTGCGCGTGAGATGTAGAAGTGTTAATTACGCAGTAGCTCGTCCGTCCGCTCGGCCATTTTAAATAATGTAAATTTTGTATTATCATAACCAGATCATAAATCTAAATTAGTAATCGTAACCAAATTGCAACCCTTGTGATATGTTGTGAACCCCAATTGTCAAATATTTGTCTAATTGATGTTTCTGTCGTGTGTGATCTAATATAAAAATAAATTAAGTCAAAGCTCCCAACCAGCAGTTATTAATTTTTCCTTTACACCACTCGAACCGGACGTTACATATAAACCTTCGAAAATACATTATCTGACAGTTTCAAGCCAAAACAAATGCTTCCCAATTAAATGTCACCCGGATCGTGTTGGTCCATATGTTAAATCCATATGTTAAAAAATGCTTTATAGGTCTATGAGGCATAGCCCTAAGGTAAGCCTATAATTGAAATTTACTTTCCACAATGGTTACTTTAAACAAAAATTACTGTAAGTGATTCATGATGGTTTGCTGAATAAATGTTTTACTAAGATGCGTTATCGTTTTCTTAGCATAAACTAACATGTTGGAATCCAGACAGAAAAAGTAAAACTTATGCAGTTAAGACATCAATTAAATTGAATACGCCTGTAAAGGTGCAACACCAACGATAACTAATGTGTAAATTACAGTGATGTGTTGTTATGTAAAAATGATTCTTGCTGCTACCAACGGTTCTATAGAAAAAAGTACCGGTATCAAGGATCGTCGTCGAAAAGGTTGTTATGAATAATTGGGTATGCGTACGTACCCAAGAGATGGGCTATGGGCCTATTGGTTGTATGGTCCAACGATTGCATCTCACGGTGAGTAGGAACTATTGACTATATATATAGTCAATGGTAGGAATAGAAAGTGACACATTGGAAAAGCGAGTTTAGCATCATCCGTAAACCTAAGTTACAATCACCCACTGCAGTTGTGATTTTTTACTTTACACTTTAGTGTAAAGACAACAACAAAAGAACTAATGAAGGGAAAGTACGGCCGGTCTAGGGTGGCTAGGGTCGGTCCTAATCCTCTCTGCTCGTGAGGGTCAGTGTGCGTGCGTGAGAGCGGAACTGACCTGGCATCCAGGGACACTCGCAAAATGCTAAGACTATAATTGGTACTGGTACTGTATTAATATTCGGTCAAAATGGCAGATTTATGTCAAATTTTACAAAAAATTTATTGAAATTTCAAGGTGAATACCAATAAAACAATTATTACCACATATTTTTGTTAATTTAAAAGATTGATTTGTGGTATTGGGGGGGGGGGGACGCGGAATGGTCGCCCCCGGAAACATCACCCCCCTACGTCATATTGACGTCAGAGACCGGGGGGTGATGTTTCCGGCCGCGGACACTCAATTTCAGTTGCAGCATGCACTCGTCAATATGACGAGTTATTTTTGAGTTTGCGTATTAATTAGATAATTATATTCACTTATCATATACAATTACCAGATTTTCTAATTAGAATTTATGCTAACCGGATACGTTGACCACGATCGTTTTCAAAATGCACACCCCGGAAAGGTCCCCCCCCTGCCATGATCTCCCCCGGTACCTGCTTGTAGGGCTTGGGCTCGTGACTCGAGCCAGCTATTGTTCACAAGGGTAGAGACTGTCCCATATTACCACCGCTCGACTGAACTCGCAAGAATGGGAAGGATTTGGTATTATTACGCAAATGTTGTGGATATTAAGATAAATACAAATTAACACTTTTATATTGTGCTTTCTCTAGACATTTCCCCTAAATTTTATACATCAAATGATGTATAAATTACATATAGTTTTTTTCCGTAAACGTATAAAATGTATTTGAAAAATGTGGAAATGAATTAAATAAAATGTTTATAGTAATAGTGGCAATTAAGTAAGGAATCAACTCGTATTAATATGAGCATGCTTCAACCACTCAACATCATAATACAGTCAGTACACACTTGACAAACATATTTTCACATTTCCTAATTCTTAAATTGTAAACATTGAGCAATAAATGCTGTATATAAATTTTATACATTTAAATAATTGTCTGGATTTTATGGTAAAATAAATGCATTGAGAATATTCCTGATTTGATATTGGTGAAGGAGTCTTTCCCGTACAAAGAAATTAGAAAGTAAATATTGGTTAGTTTCTTCGGCAATAAACAGGAAAAAGCTCACACGGTTTGTTTGCGTTGACAGAGAAGCAAGCAACAGTGTCACATTCACTTTATTTCATGATTTCACACTGCTGATATTAAACAACAAAATTGACATCGAAGTAGTACAGTTATTCCATGAACGGTTGCCCATTGTTTTGAAAGTTACACAATTAAATTCGAACCTGTAGTTCGCAGAATATTAATACGTAGCCTATAACTTAAAAGTTTGCAAGAGAACATAATCCTAAGTATAGTATCCACTATTCTCAGAGTATTGATTTATGGAATTCGTCTGTAATTTGCAGACTATTAATTCGTAGAGTACAACTGTACTTATAGCGGGAAGTATTTTTTGTAAAATAGCTTAGACTTCCCCACTTCAGGTATCCCTCCCAAGAATACCTGAGCCAAATACGTTTGTTTAACATAGTCAAGGAAAAGTTTAGTTAGTTATTTACTAAAGTCAGTTTCATCTTTTCGCCATAATTCGTACATCAACATAATCCATAATTATTAGTGTTATCTAGCCTATGTACTTAATTAATTTGGAAGGGGTTAATTTGTGAACAGAACGCCTCATTGAGTTTTAAACAGATTTTGAAAATGTAACTGTATTTTGTAAAAAGTATGCTCTGAAGTTGCACTAACAATAAAATCAGCTCAAAATATGGTAGGGGGTTTTCCCCAGTGTTTTATAGAGACCTGCTACACCGGTTTACATTTTTATAACCCTCGAAATTTTGGTATATCGATATAGACTACACACATCTACAAACATGACATAACTTTCATGTCATAAACTTATAGGCCTACTTACACAGATTTGATTTCAGACAAATCTTGATTTTACCCAAGGGTAGAAGTATTAGAGATGTATAGTCCAAATCTACAGATTTCTTGAATACGAAGATCCGTTACGGTAGGAAAAAACAACATTTAAAATTGAAACAGTATGCGGGTAAACACCGACGATCAATATTTTAAGTAAACTACTTGTAACATAAAAACGTCAATGACAGTTTGAAACCAGCTGTTAGTTAAAACAGCACTGAAACGACTTTAAATTATTAGCGTCGGCTGCTAGACTAAAAAATTAAACTTAAAAAAATGAAATCATGGCATTGACATTCCTTTCCTTAGAAAATTATATTTATTTCAACACAAAAATCACGAAATCGTGAAAGTGGTTGATTCATAATCCTGAAATGAAAAAAAAAACTGTCACGTTTAAAAATACAATATATCACAATTAATTGCACACTCTAGTGGAAATCGATGAAACCCACCCATATGAATTCTCGCTTATCCGTTTACTTTTCCACTCTTTGCGTTTTTGTACATGCCAAGTCAAGTCTTAAAACATTACATTTAAAACAATTGTATTAAATCTTCCATAAATTACAAGAAACAGTGACTCATCCATTTTCCCCGATTCCGAATATTTGTGTGCAATCTTGGCGACTTATGTTCAGTCTCTAGCATTTTGGAGGTGTTCGCAATTCAGACACGTCCGTTCCCAAAGTCCGATTATGCTGTTTAAGTTTAACGAACTCGTTTTATTGCTCCATTGCTGGCGCGTGTGTAATAAAAACAAGACAAGACAGGATTGCTTATCAGCTCGTAAATGTTGCAGCTGCTTCTGTTTTATTGCTGCATTGCTTATCTACATTATCAGTCGAGCGAGCTTTGTGAATAACAATCATAAAAATTTACGATGAATATTTGTGGCAGCTGCAACATTATATTTTTTCTTGGAACAATGTACTTACCACAAATGTTGATCTACGAATGTCTGCCATGCACTTCCGGTATCCGTTTTCAAAAAATTGGTGATACTGAAAATGATACTAAAACCATAATGCTATTACGTTTTTAAGCCGGTATACAGCATATTAAATTGCCGTTCTGTAAATAAAATCATGTCCATACTGTATCAGCAATAGTTCCCGTTGTCATTTACAATTAATCGTCCAGTGGTCTAAAAGTCGACCTGAAATATGTAATGTACACTGATTGACTAATGGATACGGAAAAATACATTCAATATACCTTTTTTTCTCGTAAACAAGTTGCTGCGTGAGACAGTCACAGTACGCGTGTCTCAATTCACATTTTCTACTTTCAAGGAAAATACCAACGAATTATTGACATAACTTAAATCTTTATTCCTTATTCCCAATTATATAAATAAGTGACTCCATAATTTGATTTGGTAAAAGTTATTCTGTATTCGAGAGAAATTAGTTTATATCAGATCCATTTAGATTTTACCTGCAATGCACACGATCAGAGTAAAAAGGGCTTAAAGAAACATGCTAGCATAGCGTTTGTACATTTTAAATTCCTTCAACATGTGACCGTGTTTTTTTATAATAAATG